AGGTTGCACAATGTGTGGTAGCTGAAAATTGAGAAAAATGACAAAGGCTGAGCAGAAATGTTAGTTTGTTCCTTAATTTACAGAAATGTTAAGCCAAATGCTGATATTTAAAAGCAAATTCAGTGTTCATTAGTATGCGTGATAGTTCTGAACATCATATTTTCTAAAGAGAAATTTTTCAGCTTGGCTGTAAGCTTTTGAAAAACGTCAAGCTTCTTCCATAAGGGAAGCAGAAGAACAAATCCCTGGAGTTCTTGGTTTATTCATTCTGCTGTCTGTTCAGTGACATTCACGTTCATTCAGCACTTCCAGAAAGTTTGTCTCCGGTTACATAAACTGTCCAACTGCGACTGAGCTGCATGGAAACACCAGCAGAAACTAAAAATAGCGAAGAGCATCTTCAGCAGTTCTGAAGCGGAGGATGGATGAAGATTAGGCGGCGCTCTGGCTGACTCCGAGCTCCGAGTTTAATCTCTGTCATTCCATCGTCTCTTCTCCGCTTTCCCGCAGTGACAGCGTCATTCAGTTGATATGTGTCGCCAAGGGAACAGGCCTGGGACTCGTCGTCAAAGGAGGGGCCAACCGAGCTGAAGGACCAATGGTGTTCATTCAAGAAATAGTGCCTGGAGGAGACTGCCAGAAGGTCAGAGTCTTCTTTCACTGAATGCTTTGTTATAATCAAAGCAAAATCGCCAGAGATGGAAACATGGATAGGGAGGAAGAGACTCTGTTCGACGAAAGCTGTCGCATAAATATTAATACAGTGACTTGCAAAGGTTTCCAGACATATTAACCTTCTTTAAAAAGTGGTGCATAGTTGTGAAATGGAAGGGAATGATACCTTGTTTTTGAATAATTTGCTAGACGATAAATTGTTGGAGAACTTATTGCGATAAATGATAATATTGTTGGAAAATAATTGGAATAATGGAAGAATAATGGAAGAACACATTCCTGAAGATTGATAAACTTGAAATTCTGATGAACATTTAAACATTGAAACTGGAAGACATTTTCAGCATCCAAAATAAATAAACAAATCAACAGAAACAACAAATAAAATTAACTCTGAAGTCTCTGTAGACGAAATTGTCTTTCAAAAAAGGGGATAGTTGAGATAAGAGCATCAGACTGAAGACCAGTTTTGGTAGAAACAGAAAAACGAACAACATTTCTGTGGTTATACCAACTGGACAGCCGGTTGCTCTACAGACTCACTCTTATAATGTATTACACACATGTTGTTGTTGCAGGTGTAAGATTGATTTAATTATTGAACTAGTTAAACAAAATGGCACATCCTGTTATTTAAAAAAAAAAATGAGCATGATCTAATTTTGGACCTATTTGCACAGGATATGTCTTGATAATTCCTGTGGTTCTGCTGCAGGACGGCCGGCTGCAGGTGGGAGACCAGCTGGTGTCCATCAACAAGGAGTCTCTGATCGGAGTGACGAACGAGGAGGCCCGGAGCATCCTGACGCGCACCAAACTCAGGTCCGACACGAGCAAAACAAGACAGGCCGACGGCGGATCGAAGCCGAACAGCAGAAAAATTTATGAGCCTTTCTATGACGATGAGGCTCAAAGGCGGCTGGGGGAAGAACAGTGTTTGAACGCATCCTTATGTTTGCGTTGCAGACCGGACCCCACGGTAGAGATTGCCTTCATCAGGCGGAGGTCGTCGTCCAGCTCCAGCAGCGGCTCCCACAGCCCCGTCTGCTTGCAGGGGTGTGGCGTCGGAGCCGGACCCCAGACGAAGGCCCTCGGGTTGGGCTCCGCGGCCCTGCAGCAAACCATGGTGACCAAGATCACTTCCAGCAGGAACCCCGCCTGCGAGACGCTGCCGCCGGTCAACGTCACGCAGGTCTGAGCTTCACGAGACGGATGGGCCACAGCATCTGTATTGTCTACTGTCTGATACGAGGAGGAACTGGTCGACCTGTGATCCGTTTTTTCTTTTTTTTTTTTTAGGTGCGAGTCGCTCCAGGCAGAACGGAGCAGACGGGAGTCTCCTCAGCGCCGCAGAGCGACAGCAGCACCGACACGAACCCTGGTGAGTTTCCGTCTAGCTCTGATAAAGATTCAAACAGGTTAAATGAGGAGAACTCTGACCTGAACACAACCTGGTGACCCACAGAAACTCTTCAGGAGATCTCACTGTTGCAGTCACAAAGCAGGCAGCGCATAGTAATACTTATAGAGCTACAACTAGAAGCTTGATTCACATTGCTTTTCCTCTAACACAATGATGGAGGGATCAAGCTGTAAAACTGAAACCTCAGTTTCAGCTGAAACTCCTGAAACCAAGAGCCATCCCCTGCACCACATGATGAAATCTACTTAATATTCACAAAAACCCAAACCTTACACTCAAAATACTAAAGGCGTGATGATGTAACACTTATCTGTATACAGTAACGTGGAAATGTTGGGACATCCTACGACACCCGACAGAGAGACTAGAATACTAGAAGATTGCAACAGCCTACGGGTCTGATAAAAAATCTCAAAGAGCTCTGCATCTGATGTAACTTAGAAATTAACAGCCAACATGCTCAGGTCTTTTCATCCAACCAAATTCAACCCTGTAAGAAGACTGTAGGATTTTACATGAAATCTACAAAGACCATAAAATATAATCACAGGATCTACTGCATTCTCTTGCTGCTGTGGAATAGAAAGCGCAGGAATAACTATGTGAGAAAGTTCTTTTTTTTTATGTGGTAAAGAATTTTCTTCGTTTTTGTTCAGTGAAATTAAATAATTTTATTGAAAAAAATATGATTAGGCATAAATATATGACGTTTCCTTTGAAAGATGAAGTCAAGACATCTCTTTAATTATCAAAATGTTCCCTTTTTTTTTTCTTCCACACCTTCTTGTGCAAGTCTGGAAGCTGAGAAGACATATCCTGTCATTGTTATTGTTATACACTCAACAGATTGAAATTATTTTTCAATGTTGGAAAAGAGCTCATTATTTTTGAATACTTTCTGAATTCTAACACATTAATAATAAAAAAAGGGTGTGTTTTTTTTTTCACCTTGACTGTAGCTGAAGCATCATTCCAATTGAATCTTTATTTTGTTTTGTTGGCCTCCTATCTGATCGACAAACCACCTGCCCAGGAACTAACACCCTGCGGACGTAAATAGATGTAAACACATCGCAGTTCCCGACCCAACCTGCTCATCCATCCATCCATCCTTCCTTTCATTTAAATGCTGAGCTGCTTGTGAGGTGACGGCATGTCGCTTCGCTACAACCCCCTGACTGTAAATGCAGACAGATTGCGAACAGCCGAGCGCCTCCAAACTGTGGCCTTACAGTCGCAGCGAAGCAGATGGTCCGAGGAGGAAGGAGGAAGTGATGCGAGCGGGAGGTCTGGGCTGCGATTGGCTTCAGCTAGGTGTGAAGCTCCACCACGTCTCTGTGTGCGAGGAATCCTGAGGTCTCCCTCCATATGTTAATTCATCCCGATTTTCGTCTTTGACGTCATGACGTGAATTCATTCGAGTAAAATAAAGTCGCTGTTTTACACGCTGGGTGTCATAATTAAGTTTAGTTTTAAGTTTTTGTTCATTTGTTTTCTTTTCCTTTATAATTTTCCGGCTCGTTTTCCCTTCCTCCAGGTCAGCCTAGTATAGTTAAGGATGAAAATCAATATTTTTTAAAAGTAGCCCATTTAGATCAAGATTTTATTAATTGTAGTTTTTGTGGAAAAATGTAAGACAACAATTAACAAAACCATTATTTCTCAGTGATATTTTGAGGTTTGTCTCAAATTTGAACTCTCTGTAAAAGCGTGAAAAACTGATTAAACTTGAACAGTGACTGGAACCCTTGTGAAAAATAAATATGCTAAGTACATGACAACATGCTTATGAAAATTAACACGATAAAAAAGCAGCTGCGCTTTAAGGGAAATGTGAATACCATATCTCATTACAATGAGATAAATAGTCGGCTCCCTTCTAAACACCATTAGTCATCACATTACATAAAAAAAACAGTACTAGAAGTATGTTTTTAAAAATATATCCTACATTTTTTAATATAATCTTAACAAGTATATCCACTTGACGACATACTAAAAATGTAATACAGCATATTTATTTTTTCCACCAGGTGACATAAATCTGTGTTTGTGTGTTTCAGATTCTGGGAGCAGCCAGCCACCTCAGAGGAAATGTTCGCTCAGCTCCAGCTGTCGATTCAAACTGGAACGACTGGAGCAGGTCGGTTTCGGGCCTGATTCAAATGTAAAGGAAGAAAAGTTTTATGATTTCTCTTTTGCTGTTCCACTGCAGAATTATCAGCAGGACATCCCAATCCTCAGACTGTGATCACAGTAGAACCTGTAAAAACATGTGAAGAGAACGAGAGTGAAGCACATCAGTGTAGCTCCCGATCGATGTTTTCACCACCCCCCGCTGTGTGTATTGATCCGTGTGTGTGTGTGTTTCAGGCGCTGGATCTAATCGGTCTGAAGCCCACAGATGCTCAGCGGCAGGCACTTAGGTCCAGACTACGAGCCGATCCGACTGGAACAGTGGCCTTCACAGGTACGACAACAACTCCCATCATCCTTCACTTCACACTGACATGGAGGAGATTCAAATAGCAACACGCTTTGACTTTCAGCGTGCTTTCATTTGTTTGTTAGCCCCTGTTTTACTAGCATGACTTGGATCTCTACCCCGATTCAGTTATCTGATTTAATTTAATTCTGATTTAATGTTTCACGTAAAGGATCTAACGGCAGCACCAGAAAAAAAAATGCATCAGTCTGATGTTTTTTTTAACAGGTTGTCTTTATTAGCATTATGGTTTACTTAATAATAACTCCAAACATTTGTTTTAGCATGTTGAAGCAGGCACTCGCATTGTGTTAGAAGTTAATCTGTACTTGCACACAATTTATATTTCCTCTTAATTTGTAACTGACTAATCTTAAAATCTTAATTAAGGTATGTGAAATATCTAAATGAGCCTTACCAGTCACTTTTGGCAGAAAATATGCGTGAAAGATGAGTGCAGACAGTATTCTCCAAACTTCTCCACATTTCTGTAAAAAACAAGAAAAGAGCTTGCATGTTTACAATAGCTCCCCCTGCTGGATTGAATGGTTTTTATTTTTGTTGCTCATTCAGTGCAGAGGGACATTGTTGCTTAGAGGAACAGGTGGAAACATTCTGTGATGTCCTTCAGTTTACTCAACACAATTAAAGTAAAGTGACAATTTTTTCCTCACTGGCTCTTCTTTGGGATTAGTCCTGTTATTCTACATCTACTTGTTTGTTAAAGACATGCATGCATCTACATTCATTAACCTCGGATTGAATCACAGACCAGCTTAGTATTTCTTAGGAACTAGTTAAGGCAGATCTGTCAAATAAAACCTGTTCTATAGGATTCGGCCCAGAAAAACTCCAAAAAAACCTGCTTTTATTTGAGATCTACTCTTAAAAGAGCTTCATAAGACAAAACTGTTTAAACCTATTCAACTGGCACCATAAAAACTTATTAAAAACAGATTAATGGAGTTATTAAAAAAAACAGGTGAGATTTTTCCAAAGGTCACGTTCTGTTGAACTCTTCCTTTCTATTTGCGCCTGCAGACTTCGAGAGCCTGATCCGGGAACTGTTCAAGCCTCAGCTGGAGGAACTGTTCGGCACCCAGTCCAGCTCCAGGTTCACGTCAGACGACTTCTCCAGCCTGCTGGAGTCTCCCACCAACCCACCGGTAACGGCTCAGGCTGGGACCTGCGGACTAAAACTCGCACATAAAACATCCGCTGACATCTTCAAAACAAAAGAGACATCTTCCAAAGTGAAATAATCTATATCGCTTTAAAAAGTAAAATGAAATATACGTTTTCTTTTACTATTTAAGTTAATAATGAGACCGCTAATAACTTCTGGGATTTGTCTAAAACTTCACACACTGGCCTTTTAACAAAAACTCCTGATAACTTTTGTTAATCTCCAGAGAAAATAGTTACGATTCAACGACTTCATCCTAAAGTTGAAATTGAGATTTTAAATAGAAAAAACGACAAAAATCACGAATGTGTACCAAAACTTTAACCCATCTGACAGTGGGTCCTCCAGTAAGAACCTCAGGGATATTTTTACACCAGACATTCCTGATTTCCTCTGTTTCTTCCTGCAGCCGTCGCTGTCAGACTCGGACGACCTGGAGGAGATGGAGAAGTTGAGGAAGGAGCACATTGAGGCTCTGAAGGAGATCAAGACACTGCAGGTGACCTCACTGAAGTCTGATAAAATGTTAGAGGATTGTGGTGAAACCTTCCAGGTTTGATTCTGGAGCAGGGGGGAAAAAAAACAAACAAAAAAAAACACATTGTGTTTATTTCCAATAGGAGCAGCTTGTCGAGTCTCAGAGAGTTCACCAAGAGCTGGAGGACGAGCTCAACAAGGTCAAGCAGGTCAGTCTAATCTTTAATTTCCCCCTTCACCTGTTAGACTTTAGAGAAATATTTGCTTTTAAATAGAATCACCTAGTTTTAGATTTTCTAAAACTACCTCAGTTTAGTGGGGACACGAATCGTCTTGTTTTATATTTGAGGATGTAGAAGTGAGATTTGTTCATTCTGTTGTTTTTTTCCCTCTTGCAACACAAACTCAGTATGAAACGAAATCACATCAGTTTTGTGTTTTGAAGGAGGTGCAGGAGAGCTGTCTGATAAATTTAGATTTTTCATGACTGTGAGTGTTTCTGTAAAAATAGATCAGCAGGTGGAGCCTTCCACACACACACACACACACACACACACACACACACACACATGAACATGAGAGTGTGTGAGTGTGGGAGGTTGAGTTGAACCCACTCAGCGGCTGGAGGAGTGCGCGGCCTCCATTCGCTCGTCTTTCGGGCTCTAAAATAGTTCCTCCTCCCGTTTGTTTGTTCTGATTCACAGCTGAAGGGTCTCGCCCTCGTTTGCTCCCACTTCGCCGCCTCTCGGCTCCTGTAGCGTTGCGTAAACGAATCGATATCTAGATTTAGATGCAGCTGACAGATGTAGGGAGCCAGCGGAGGTTCTGGCGGGATGTTTCCGATCTGTTGGTTGGACAGTCGCAGGAGAGACGAGGGGTTTCTTGGCAGCACTGAACATGAACTCTGGGTGCATTGTTTTCATGTTTTCCCAACATTAGTCTCAATGTAATTACATGTTATTTTATTTTTTGTTTGATTATTGATATGTCGTCCATTAGACCAGTGGTGTCCAAATGTTTTGCAACCAGGTCCAATATTCGGTTGCGAAAACTCGTGGGCCATGTTTTAAAATTAAAACTGAAGAGATTGATTGAGTTATTTGTTGTTTTCATCTGCTTGATAATATTCTAATTAGACAATATTTTGATAAATCAAAGTAGTCGACATTTTGTAGAAAAGGAATCTGCAAGTTATGGTTGACCCAAAACATATGGAGGGTCCTGGACAGTTGCTGTTCATCTTTTGGGGTTTACTGTCATCATTTTTTCTTTTCCTTTTTCTTTTTTTAACTTTTTGAAACAAAGGTTGAGCGTCACTTGCTGGTTTTAGCAAAGTATAATCAATGAAAACAGAAACATTGTTAATAAAAGACAAATACTTTGTCTGGTAGCTAAGTACATTTTATTTGTCTGTAAAAAATCTCAAATTAATCATGGATTCGCTCCATTCTTGAATTGTCGACCATGGGGCCAAACAAATCATCCAGAGGGCTTCAGATGATCCCCGGGGCCACGTTTTGGACATCCCTGCTTTCACTGGAAAGACAACTTTGAGTAAACTTTGATTATTCAAAGTCAACTTTGAGTAACCAATTAACCTAAAAATCATATTTTGCTCTGTTACTCACCAGATTTAAGAAATTTTTAAGCAAAGAAAACCATCTTTTCATCTGAGCTAATCCAGGATTGGCCATTGTCATTCTGTTATTGTTCCGGTTGCACAGTTTGTGCTTTCTTTTTTTTCCCTAATTCCTCTTTTTCCCAGTGAGTAGTGGGTTAGTGTGTTGACCTGCTTGTTTTGACCTTGCGGCTGGAGGTCAGCCCTCAAGGGCCCTCGAGGCCGCAGCTGGAGGCACAAACCGTCATAGCAGGGTTCCTGAAGTTACCCTAACAACCCCCTTACGCCTCAAGTGCACTCTGAATGGCCGCTCTGCACAACAAACCCAGCTGAAAGAGTCTAATTTTAACACCAACAGAGTTGGTGTGTTCCAGCAGACGGCTTGTTTTGAAACCAAATATTCAGCACAAACAAGCTGAAGCAAATTCAAAGATAGACCACAGAGTTTGTCATTTATTTTCAAAGAGATTAAGGGCAAATTTATAAGAAAAAATAAATAAATAAATAAAGTTAATATCTCGTGAGAATGGGAGTGTTGAACAGAATTGATGCTTCCAGATTTTTGAAAGAACAATTTTTGTACAGTCGGCCTTGAAGTGATTGTTGAATTAAACCATCATTGAAAGTTTCTTCTCTGACTCAGCTGTAATTTTCAGGAAACCTTGTCGACTCATAGTAAAAGCCCCTGTGTCCTGCGATTCAAAAGTCTAAATATCTCCCATGCAGTCATCTTTTTCGCTAAGAAATATGACTTCTTGTTTCATATTGTCATGCAGAGAAATCAGTAACCAACATTCTGGCAAACACGATTGCAGTATTATGCCTTGGCGGTCTACAGGACATTTTCCTGAACTGCTTGAAAGCAACATTAAATCATTTATCATGTAAGTTAATTTACACAATGCTCCACAGCGACATCTGGTGGGAGCATCTCCTAATTGGATCTAAATTCACTGTTTTTTCTTATCTTAGTCTTCCTGAGGATCGTTTTCAGGCCGGACTCCCCAGACCCGAGGTGCCCTCTCAGGGACAGATGGGTGCTACACGGAGGGCCTTTTTTTTTTTTGTTTTTTCTTTTTGTTTGAACAGCAATTTGTAGAGGTTTAGAAACATGAGCAGCCATGCTGAGAGTGATAACGGTAACAGATGGCCTTCCTGTTCCCATGCGTTTCCATGTCTTAAGAAAATCACCTTTTTTTTTTTTTTTACCTTTTTGTGTCCTGTTAGTTTTACGTGCGTACGACATCTCTGCAGGAGGTCTTAAGTCGCCAAAATCATGTGCTGCGTGCTGTTTCCTTTCAGTCATAAAAAAGGATGTCACACACAGCACATAAACTAAGCTTTACACGTTTTCCAACTGAGTTACACACCTCCAGGTATCTTTGGTTCATTAGACAGTGCTTACTGAAACAGAAAAGCTTTTTTTTTTAAAACATCTATATTGTGATATAGATATTGTTTTCTTTGATTTATAAAAGAGTACACTTGCGTAATGTACTTAAAAAGTGTCCTTTTGTTATTTCCTTTTCTTGGTGTTGAGACATTTTAAAAAAAATAATAATAGTGAAAAAAGCTGTCTTTTTTTTTTTTACAGCTTGATTAGATCATCACACACCAGGTACTAAACCTGCTTTAGCAAAACAAACCCCTCACATTTTCTGTGCTTATTCTTAAATCACAAATCAAGCCAGCTGTTTTTCTGCGTACACGAGTTTTCAAAAACTCGGGTCGGTATTGTAAGGTCATAGAAACTTCCCATAGCTCCCGATTCACTTCAGAGCAAGAGTGCAAGCAGCCTCGACCTGGGAATCCAGCTCGGTAAGTCAGCCGATGCAGGGCTTTGATTTCCTCGTTGGGCATCTCAGAGGCGCAACACACAAGGTTGACATGAAATTTGTTTGTATCGTAGTTTTAAGTATTTGTGAAAGAAGCTGATGACTACAAGATGCTCAAATGTTGGTAGCCTGATCAACATTTGAAATTTAGGCAGATTAATGAGCTAAAGTGGACCTGTGAACCCTGTTGAGCTTTTACTGGGCAATCTGTTTGCCTGAAGACTTGATGTTCCACCTTCATCACGTTTTCTCTCCAGGAAGCGAAAGTGGGAGCAGAGGAGAGTCGGACTCTGAGGACCCGGATCCAGCTGGCCGAGGAGGCCCAGAAGCAGGCCAGAGGGATGGAGATGGACTACGAGGAGGTCATCCACCTGCTGGAGGCTGAAATTGCCGAGCTGAAGACTCAAAGGGTGGAGCATCCAGCAACGACCAAGAAGGTAGCCAATCACAGAGTCATCACGTTGCTAAAAGAAATCCTTTGTTAAAATGGATCTACTGGAGAAAATATCAGCCTACTAACAAATTACATAGAGCTCCGTACAATATTGACAATAAGCTTAGTTTTGTTGAGAGACATGAATTTTTACATTCTAACCTAGGAGGAAGCCGACGAGCTGAAGAAGAAGGTGGCTATTCTGGAGTGTCAGCTACGGAAGAGTGAAACGGCCAAAAAGGGTTTTGAGATGTCAACGGGAAAGCTACTAAGTTTTGTGGAGGTGAGAGGGTTAAACCAAACCCAGAATCTAAACGTTGATCATCTCTGTGGCGTTTACGTTTCTTGTTTTTCTTTTTGCCTTTTACTGCAGAACGTTCAGGACTTTTTGCTGGAAAGTCACGGACCCACAAAGAGCTACAGGTACACACTTCAAAGCCGTCTGTGTGTGTGTGTGTGTGTGTGTGTGTGCGCGTGCGCGCCACTCAGAGTGACAAAAGGTTGATTGGCTGCCTGCTATTCGTTAGAGTCTGCGCTAACGAGTCCGGTTCCTTGGGGAAAACGGTTGCCGTAGCAACCAGCAACCTTCATCTCTACAAGTTAGTTTTGCTCGTCTGTATACAGTTTATGTGCATGTGTGTGTTTGTGTGTGTGTGTACCTTTACCACCATGTTCTGCTGTTTTGCTGCTGATATACATATGTAGCGTGTGTTAAGGCAGTGCTACAAGAAATATAAATACAAGTCATGTACAGATGGGAAAATATGTAAACAAATGTTTGAACAGGAAAAAATCCCATCAGTTTTTTTTTTATTCTAATTTTGTTTTTCTCTATAAAATAAAAAACAAAGTCAGACAATTATAGTGATGGAACTGATAAAAAAAAATAAAGAATTCAAATACATTAATTTTCTAAACAGTAACGCATGTAAACATGAAAAAACTGTAAATACTCTTATCCTCATCTAGTGTTTGTAGTTGAAAAATATATGCTTGAAGCCAATTTATTTAGTTTTGTTTAAAGTGTTATTACCATTTCCTCATTAAAATTTTTCAAAACGGATACAAATCAAAAGAAATTATGAAATTATTGTTTTCTTATTTTTCAAATTCTTAAAAAAGTAAAAAAAGTTTTTTCTTATGTCTTCATATTTCATTCTCCGTATTTGTCATTACTTCAAAGTTTTGTTTAGTTTTTTAAATAATGGACTCTGGCTGGGCAAATTGTTTCCTGCACATCAACACAGGGTGTCAGTTTCTCTGTACATCCATGAAATAACAAATTAACAATTTTATTCAACATCTTTATGACTTTCAACAAGTCTAAACGAGGTTCAGGAAAGTTCCCTTTGCACGTTCCGTCCTCAGGAAATAAGTTAGAAGTAAAGGCAACTGAGACGTGTGTTTCTCAGTCATGTAATGACGTCTCCAGCAGAGAGCCCATTAGTCCGGGCTTCGCACACACTCAGTGGTCCGGCTTGGCCCACTTCAGCTCAGGCAGAGCACCGGTTGGCTCCCGGTAATGGGCTCCTGCTGCGAGCGGCGGCATTACGAAATGTCTCCACCGAGTAAGAGGTCACCAATTACTCTTCCCTATCCAGTTGTTGATCTTTATTTATTAACCACCAACACACAACACTGATCACCACGAGGAGTGTTGCACAAAGCATGCTAACGGGTTCACCTCATAATCCAAAACTGCAGAACATATCTTATGTATGGATGTATATATGTATGGATGGATGGATGGATGGATGGTAGTAAAAGGTAGGAAGAAAAGGTTTTGATGAACAGCTGCAGGCCAATGTCTGATTCTCTTTTTGTTCTGCGTCTGAAGTTATATGGATGAATGAATAACCTTATTGTCGTCAAATGGTTTGCGCACATCTAGATTAGTTTTTCCACTCATAACATCTGATTAATTCTCTTGTCTTACAACTTTTTAAGATTATAAATTATCTTTCATCTCATTTCCTTCTCTCCTTCCTCTTCCTCACCGTAGATCTGTTTGTGCAAGTTCCTTATCCTGCGATTTATTTTTTGTTTTTAACATTTCTGATGTTGCGTTGTGATGCTTGTGTCCCTTTCGATCTGTTTGAATTTTCCATCTGCTTATTTTCATAATCTCTCCTGTTATTCCTCCCTTTTCTCTTATTTCATCTGTTTATCTTTCATGTTTCCTTCCATCTGCCCTCATCCTTTTGTTCCTCCGCCGTGTTTTGATCCCAGTTTATCGGCTCTCCCTGGGAGCTTGTGTAAGGTGGACTCTGTAAATCTGGTCACTTGGTCATGCTATTAGGTCATCCACCTATGAAACCTCCTGCCAGCTTCTTTTGTTTCATTGCAGGTCAGTGGGACACCTGAGCTTTCATAACTGCTGGACACTCTACCCCCCATAGCGGACCCTTGGTCCTATTTCTGTTATTTTTACTTTCTGGTTTGTTCGTTTTCTAGGCCACTCGTCTGATCCATAGATTCAATAAAGGAAGCATTGTTAATTTTTTTTTATTTTGTCTGAAATAAATGGCCTGATCTAGCTTCCGCAATGTCTTTTTGTATTCTGACACAGATTAAAGCCATAATTTCCTCAGAGCTCAGTTCAGAATCAAAATTAGTTTATAAAAAGAAGGNTAACTTTTTGAAACAAAGGTTGAGCGTCACTTGCTGGTTTTAGCAAAGTATAATCAATGAAAACAGAAACATTGTTAATAAAAGACAAATACTTTGTCTGGTAGCTAAGTACATTTTATTTGTCTGTAAAAAATCTCAAATTAATCATGGATTCGCTCCATTCTTGAATTGTCGACCATGGGGCCAAACAAATCATCCAGAGGGCTTCAGATGATCCCCGGGGCCACGTTTTGGACATCCCTGCTTTCACTGGAAAGACAACTTTGAGTAAACTTTGATTATTCAAAGTCAACTTTGAGTAACCAATTAACCTAAAAATCATATTTTGCTCTGTTACTCACCAGATTTAAGAAATTTTTAAGCAAAGAAAACCATCTTTTCATCTGAGCTAATCCAGGATTGGCCATTGTCATTCTGTTATTGTTCCGGTTGCACAGTTTGTGCTTTCTTTTTTTTCCCTAATTCCTCTTTTTCCCAGTGAGTAGTGGGTTAGTGTGTTGACCTGCTTGTTTTGACCTTGCGGCTGGAGGTCAGCCCTCAAGGGCCCTCGAGGCCGCAGCTGGAGGCACAAACCGTCATAGCAGGGTTCCTGAAGTTACCCTAACAACCCCCTTACGCCTCAAGTGCACTCTGAATGGCCGCTCTGCACAACAAACCCAGCTGAAAGAGTCTAATTTTAACACCAACAGAGTTGGTGTGTTCCAGCAGACGGCTTGTTTTGAAACCAAATATTCAGCACAAACAAGCTGAAGCAAATTCAAAGATAGACCACAGAGTTTGTCATTTATTTTCAAAGAGATTAAGGGCAAATTTATAAGAAAAAATAAATAAATAAATAAAGTTAATATCTCGTGAGAATGGGAGTGTTGAACAGAATTGATGCTTCCAGATTTTTGAAAGAACAATTTTTGTACAGTCGGCCTTGAAGTGATTGTTGAATTAAACCATCATTGAAAGTTTCTTCTCTGACTCAGCTGTAATTTTCAGGAAACCTTGTCGACTCATAGTAAAAGCCCCTGTGTCCTGCGATTCAAAAGTCTAAATATCTCCCATGCAGTCATCTTTTTCGCTAAGAAATATGACTTCTTGTTTCATATTGTCATGCAGAGAAATCAGTAACCAACATTCTGGCAAACACGATTGCAGTATTATGCCTTGGCGGTCTACAGGACATTTTCCTGAACTGCTTGAAAGCAACATTAAATCATTTATCATGTAAGTTAATTTACACAATGCTCCACAGCGACATCTGGTGGGAGCATCTCCTAATTGGATCTAAATTCACTGTTTTTTCTTATCTTAGTCTTCCTGAGGATCGTTTTCAGGCCGGACTCCCCAGACCCGAGGTGCCCTCTCAGGGACAGATGGGTGCTACACGGAGGGCCTTTTTTTTTTTTGTTTTTTCTTTTTGTTTGAACAGCAATTTGTAGAGGTTTAGAAACATGAGCAGCCATGCTGAGAGTGATAACGGTAACAGATGGCCTTCCTGTTCCCATGCGTTTCCATGTCTTAAGAAAATCACCTTTTTTTTTTTTTTTACCTTTTTGTGTCCTGTTAGTTTTACGTGCGTACGACATCTCTGCAGGAGGTCTTAAGTCGCCAAAATCATGTGCTGCGTGCTGTTTCCTTTCAGTCATAAAAAAGGATGTCACACACAGCACATAAACTAAGCTTTACACGTTTTCCAACTGAGTTACACACCTCCAGGTATCTTTGGTTCATTAGACAGTGCTTACTGAAACAGAAAAGCTTTTTTTTTTAAAACATCTATATTGTGATATAGATATTGTTTTCTTTGATTTATAAAAGAGTACACTTGCGTAATGTACTTAAAAAGTGTCCTTTTGTTATTTCCTTTTCTTGGTGTTGAGACATTTTAAAAAAAATAATAATAGTGAAAAAAGCTGTCTTTTTTTTTTTTACAGCTTGATTAGATCATCACACACCAGGTACTAAACCTGCTTTAGCAAAACAAACCCCTCACATTTTCTGTGCTTATTCTTAAATCACAAATCAAGCCAGCTGTTTTTCTGCGTACACGAGTTTTCAAAAACTCGGGTCGGTATTGTAAGGTCATAGAAACTTCCCATAGCTCCCGATTCACTTCAGAGCAAGAGTGCAAGCAGCCTCGACCTGGGAATCCAGCTCGGTAAGTCAGCCGATGCAGGGCTTTGATTTCCTCGTTGGGCATCTCAGAGGCGCAACACACAAGGTTGACATGAAATTTGTTTGTATCGTAGTTTTAAGTATTTGTGAAAGAAGCTGATGACTACAAGATGCTCAAATGTTGGTAGCCTGATCAACATTTGAAATTTAGGCAGATTAATGAGCTAAAGTGGACCTGTGAACCCTGTTGAGCTTTTACTGGGCAATCTGTTTGCCTGAAGACTTGATGTTCCACCTTCATCACGTTTTCTCTCCAGGAAGCGAAAGTGGGAGCAGAGGAGAGTCGGACTCTGAGGACCCGGATCCAGCTGGCCGAGGAGGCCCAGAAGCAGGCCAGAGGGATGGAGATGGACTACGAGGAGGTCATCCACCTGCTGGAGGCTGAAATTGCCGAGCTGAAGACTCAAAGGGTGGAGCATCCAGCAACGACCAAGAAGGTAGCCAATCACAGAGTCATCACGTTGCTAAAAGAAATCCTTTGTTAAAATGGATCTACTGGAGAAAATATCAGCCTACTAACAAATTACATAGAGCTCCGTACAATATTGACAATAAGCTTAGTTTTGTTGAGAGACATGAATTTTTACATTCTAACCTAGGAGGAAGCCGACGAGCTGAAGAAGAAG